GCCGCTTTGATGACCCTGCGCTCTCACACGACCCTCACGGTCGAACGCCATGCCGAACCAAGTGGCAACTTCCTCCTAACTATTATCTAACCCTTCTGTAGGGGATTCATTATTCCTACGAATATGACCCACTCAAGACTTCGTTTTGCTTCTAAGGAACCGGGCCTGGAAGATCGCGGCCGGTAGGTTTCATCTTATTAGCCGTAACACTACGCAATAGTTTGAACCTAAAAAGCCGTCCCACTCTTGCTTGTCTGTGTTGATCTTCCTTCCTACATCAATATTAATGGCTATGTGACTGTGTGTGTGACTGATAGATTGAGTAGCAAGGCCCACTTCGACGGTTATGTCTTCTTACTTCATCAGAGAAGGTCTTCTCACGATAAGCAGGATTTCAGATGGAAACCAATGGGATGACGGCTTGGGAAATTTCTGGTAAAGTACTGGACTAAAGCCCAATAACCAAACAGTATAAATTTGAATATCACGATATTCAAACTTGGAGTTGAGTATTGCTGGCTAACAAGTCAGAAGTGGGCCTCCTAGTCTTCTTCGTCTTTATCAGTAATTTCCTTGCTGCATCTTCTGAACTTGTTCCGCTGCGTGCAAACCAATATCAATTAACTTAGACTTCGACCGAGAGCGAGGTCCTCCAACCAACGCTTCTCATCTTGCTTAACTCTCAAACGATGCCCCCAGCTAGCAACTGCCAGCCATTTTTTACTAACGTTTCTTTCTTCAAATGATCATAATCGACCATGGTCAGCCAAACTTTGTTATTCCCTACTTACAAGGAGCCTTAATCGGAATACCACTGTTAGAAGAAAGAAAAGGTTTGGCAGTGATATCATGAACCGTTTTGCCTTTGAGATGACGTTCGGCAGTCATCAGGGGTAGAAGAGCAGGTAAAAGAGTATTACCGATAAAGACATGGGAGCCTAGAAAGACCGCTTTTGGCTTCTTAACCGTCAGCAGCTAGTTATAACCACACTAGGGGCTGAAATCCCAGGACTCGATATCGTGATCTGAGTATTAGAAGTCCAGCGCCCCAAAAGTTGAGTCACGAACTCGATTTCCTGTCGGTTACGATCGGATAAATTAACAGTGGTAGTGGTACGCTCACCGGTGGCGTCAGAAGACACACTTGTTCCGTTTTGCCTGTAGGCTAAATTTTGAGCCTCCCCCCCGCCAGCAGTCGCTTAGTGGATAGTATCATAGACGTAGGGATACTACCGAAAAAGACAGGAGAGGCCGGAAGACCATTTCTGGCTATTAAGCCGTCATCAACCTGTCGTAGCCAATCCCAAATTGTGCGCCATTCAAGGCTTCAGCCTGCGATCTTTTGATTAGAACAGAAAGATGGCCGGTCGATTAGAAGAGACAGCCTAAATAATTGATACTGTTCAGTTGGACACTAACTTAATGGCCCCCCGTATCCACATAACTCTGAAAAGGCTGTCTTTTTCCCGTCCTTTTCTCTTTGGTCATGCGTCTGTCTATATCTTGCATTTGACCAAGCCTGGCGTATAACTATACGTTCGTAACTCAAATGATGCTGGCATATCTTAACCTTTCCATATTGTTCACCTTATCCACCGCATTTGCCTTCAACGTGGCCATTTCAAATCAGCAAAAAGTAGGCAAAACCAGCTCTTGTATAACGGTATTATAGATGCCCAAAAATAATACAGATTCGGCTGTGGAGCCATGGGTTCCGTGAGCTGATGCGACAGCGACTGGATAAAAACATTTTCAGGACATCTAGGTACCAAAAGGCTCGCCAATCGACGAGCAAGCTGACATTCCTGCGGCCTGCACGATTCGACGCCACTACATCAAAAAGATAAAGTCCTTGGGAAAGTTATATGAGGGGACCGACACACTGTCACCCACCGTCAGGAGTCAATGGCTCAATCACAGACGCGACAGATGCTACGAAACGCGCAAATTTCTGTTGACTAAGGCTTCATGAAAGTACAAGCAAAGCAAGCTATTGTCAAACGCCTCATTAGTTTTATGGAGATATAAATGACATGGCAGAACAAGGAGTAAAACAACGAAAGGGGGTGCCAACCTTCTTTGCTGGTTGTGGTTCTGCGCATAAAATCTACGAGAGGCAATCATTACCCCACCATAAGGCCCGAGTAACTTACCTTGGAAGTCTGGGGTCGGCGTCCTCCTGACATCATCCCTCAGAATGCGTAGCTGCTGCAGAATCAGTTCATAGTGCAGTTCACATTCCCAGTCATTGGCCAGGCTTCCCTCAAGGGAGGAAAAGAAGTTTCGCAGGCCATCCTGCAGTTCCTGGTTGCCACTCATGAGATGAGATGAGGCCTAGGCGAATAAGGCAGTGAGTGCTTTAGGTGAACTTAAAAATCCGTCACCTAGTAAAAAACTATGCACTCAGACATTTTCAAACAACCTGCGATGTCAATATCTGCCGATATAAACCGGCAAGAAGATGAGCTCGGAGCTCAATGGTTAGAGCCTTGGACACTGATCTTAAAGGATGTGAGTTCGAGCCTTGGGTGATGTACCATTTGGGGTTGGGAATGATTGGCTGACGACGGCTAATGAGCCAGAGCTGTCCATTTCGGTATTCGTTTTCTTCACCAGCACCTACTTAGACTACTAGTCTCTGTGCGGCTGATTCCGGGGCTAGAGCATGAGTCCCAAAGGAGAGCAGGACGAATAAGCTCCGTTAGCGATCGGTTAACGTTCTTCAACGAGTGCCAACATTCGATAATATAATATTGAAAGTTCTTAATTGAACTAAATATCACAATTGGTCAGTATAAAGAGCTTCACTTGCTCAGAACCGCAGATGGACAGTTCTTCCAGAGTGCTCTAATGACCATGAAGCAGGTTAGGAATGAACCATGAGGCGCTGAGCATATAATGATTGTAGGCTTTTCCGAAAGAAAGACCCCCGATGGCCTTGAAGAGAACGCTATCTAGGAATTCAGGTTATTGACTTGGACAAGTCCCAATGTGCACTGTGCGCATCTTTTTAGTCTTAGTGGCCAAGTATTCTACTGAGCGCTACAGTTCATCCCTCGTCACCTTGCGTCATCCTCCAAATTATGTGTGTTTCCATGTCTGAGCCATTGGAAGGGCATGCAAATTAGCGTGTGACTTTTTGGCAACCTCACACGTCCAGTCTCGGTAAGAATGAAATATAACCGTTCCCCTGCATCAAAATCTAACTCCAGACAGTAACGTATCTCTTGAATACAGCAATACCAACTACCGCCAGCACAGGATCAGCAAAACCAACCGTCAATACGTCCATCACATTGGTGATTTGCGCATTTCCTACGTACCCGTGAATTTTTAAAGCTTTTAAGCAATAACTACATGTTAGCATAGCTGCATTTGTAAGCAGTTCCGCGGCAGTAACTCTCCTTTATATTGCCGAACACTATCATCTGGTATTTCCGTCTGGAACCGTATCACGTAAGCCGCTAACAAGAACCGAAGTAGGGTGAAAATGCTTTCAAATGCACTACGGCTGATATATAGAAAAACGACAGCTAAGCCAATGTGGTCCAGGGAAATTAGTGAATCTTATCCTTTCAGACTTCCTAACAAAATTTAGCCGTTTACCCCCTAAAATGGACTTGATAGGGAGGGGTTATTTTCCTTTTATCACCCCCGGAAGAGGAAGAAAAAAAGAGACGATTTCTGGGACCGATTTATATTGTGGCGGACATTTCAAAAGCTTGCTCGCTTCCATCGTCAAAGCGTGGTGTCTGTACTCCTGTTCGCTTCAGATGGGGTTATTTTATTTCCGTTTTGTCA